CTTAGCTAAGTAAATATGTGTTATGTATGTTTCACAAAAATAAATATTGTTCAAGGGTTTAAATATATAGATGACTAAAGGGGAAAACGCATACGAGGACAAAGACATATAGCCTTATTCTGAAAATTCGTTGGGAGGTATCTCACATGTAAAAAAATTCGCTTTCACATTTTCGCCTTATTCTGAATGCATAGGGAGACGCAAAAAATGCGAGATGCGGATTCGAGTTTTCGAAAATGGTGGTTGAAAAAATATTTGTTTTGCCATATTGTAATTTAAGTTGTAACGTGTGTGGCCATATTGTAATTTAAGTTGCAATATGTGTTGCCCCATTGTAATTTGATTGTGTAATATTTTTCAATATTTTATTTATAGATTTTTTTATTAAAAATGTTTACTTTTTATTGTTATTTAAAGTTTATAACAATACAAATGTGAAATATCAATAATCCGCTGTAAATAGCTTTGTAATTAAAAGAAAATAAATTAAAGTTTAAAAATATGGCAACCTACAATATGGCATGTGAAACAGCTGTTCATTGTTTTGATGCAATTTGGTGCAACAACTACAACAACGAATAATGGAAATAAATCTGCGATGGAATTAATTAATTCAGTTTATTATTTCACTACATAATTGTGTGTCTTTTTAATTAATTTCGATATTTATTTCCCCAGATTCTTAAAGTGGCCTGTTATGTTAAGATTTGCTCCTAATCCTTTAGTTCTTCCATCAAATCATGCACACGATAATTTTGAAAAAAAAGAATATTTTTTGTTCGCCTCCAAAATGCATCAAACTCGACTTAAATATTCCGTATTACCTTCATACATTCCTTGGCAATACTTGGTTCAGCATGCATCGTTATCAATACGATTTCCAATGGCATTTTATTGGTTGTTTTCCAGTTAAAAATTAGCTTACTATCATTTATAATATTCTAAATCGTCATAGAATAAGTATTGTGTAAATATTTTTCATGAAAATAGTTATTACTTAAGTTTTTGTAGTCAACTCCCTTTAAATTTATTAGCGAAAAATTCCGCACATTTCACAGGAAAATGTTGTTCAGAATAAGCCGAAGGGGAAGAGCGAGTAAATTCACATGGAATTGACATCCAGAATAACGCTGATAAAAGTATAAAGATAGGACAATTGATACGTAAACAATTTCCAACAGATGGCTTTTCCTCTGTTGTTACGATATCATAACAACAGAGAGAATAATATTAAACGTTTTTAATGCTATATCTTAAGCTTATCAAATAAAAAAATATATTTTGATTGCAGATCTCTGATTTTTTTACATTTTATAAACACATTATCGCGTATTGGCGTTTTTATTGTTAACATGCCTCTATTATACCTGATTCCCCTGGATATTTTTTTATAAACTATTTTGTCAAAATGCATTTTGTCGAGTCTTTACGGTTTCTATGTCTTTGACGAGGATTCAGGCCTGGCCGGTTAAATTGGCTTTGTATGAAATATCAATTTATAAAGAAATATCAGCATCAAACTTGATTTTGGACGCCGCACAGTGGGTTAGAGTACCATGTTTTCTTGGATCAAATCAGGGAAGCTATGTTAGAATAATTTTTCTTTATTTTTCAGTTAATACCATTAAAATAAGTTAAAAAAAATGTTTTCTAAGTATATTTGAGTATAATTTTATTAAGTAATGCCAAATATCAGTGTAGGTATATAGTGCAAGGCGTACAATATGATAACTTAACACTAGATTGCCGAAGGCAGTCATTTTGACAGTTTTTCAATTTCAAGTACAAAAAAAATTGTGTACATTATGACCCAGCTTTTTAAAATTTGGTGACTTTTTGTACCACATAGAACTACGTTTATTAATCATAGTAGCTGCTTCCTCCCCTCTTTCATTCCCCGTATTCACATGTGCTATACCTATATTGCCTAAAATCGGTCATTTTGACCTTTTGTGAAATATTAAACAATCAAACTACTTTTATTATTGTATAAAGTAAATTTCTTATATGACCAGATCAGTACAACAACATCGAAACCCGTTTGCTACTCTAGAAACACAAACGAACATACAAATCGGGAAAAATAAATTTTATATTTCTAGTCGATTTCACTCTTAGAGTAAAGACTTCCTCTTTTTTGAACATTTTGTCCGCGCTCTTATTTTTCAAAAGGGGAAACACGAGAGCCCTACCACCGAAAACAAATAATAACAACGTTTTGTATGATTGTGAATACTGTAAAAAATATTAAAAAATAAGTTAAAAATTTTTTCTTAAACAATAAAAATTCTTTCAGAATGAAGTCATTTTGACCGATTTTAGGCAATATAGGTATATACAAAATTCCCGTCTTTCTAGTGTTAAACATTGAATTTTATACATCTTAAAGTTAATCATCCACGTCGTCATCATCCGCAGCCAGGGATGGTCCGTATGACGATTTTTCAGGTTTTCGACTGTCAAAAAGGTGTAAACGTCGTAAACGTCATATACCTGTATAAAATGTAGTAAACGTCATTTAATTCAATATTATCACCATATACAGTAATTTTCAAGAACATATATTATTTTTACTGTATATCTGACTATTCTTTACTAGAACTGATAAAAAATTCTGAACTTTTTTTTGAAAAAATTTTGATAACCGATATGAATTTGAGTAAAGCCTACGTTATTTCCAAATCGATAAATGTAAATAGCTATTTTATAAAAAATATAATGGTTTTGAGTGGGTTTCCGACGTTTCTGACGTATGTATTATACGTCGGAAATGTATGTCATTTACGTCACTGTTTCTGACAGGCCATCTCTGTCCGCAGCATCACCAACTTCTGATAATTGCGCAATATGTAAGAGGGCATTTGACACAATTTCGGGTCCGTGAATAAAAAACTTGTGCAAAGTGGCAATTATACCAAGGATACGTTTCAACAAAAAGTCGTCCTGTATTGTGTGCATATATTTGAAATTTTTCATTATTAATATCATGGCCACTGGATACAGCTATAACCGACACGTGAATTTTTTATTAAATTAACATATATTTTTGTTATTTCTGCATATTTTTTTAGCGTTTTGGTGCGTTTTTTTTTGGATTTCTTTAGCTAAAAATGTCATCTTGTCATTCATTGTTTGAGCGCTCGAATTCATCATAAGCTTCGACGATTATAAAAAACAACGTTCGAACTTGTATCTATGAAAAAATGCTAATAAAGAACCCTTTTACCCGACTACTTGAAACTGCACAACACAATCACTATCACTAAACAAAAACAAAATATTATTGTAACAAAGAATATTATTAAAAGAAACAAAAATAACAACAATAAAATAATTAGAAAAAATAACATGAAAAACAAGAAAACACAACACTCAACAACAGCACCAGTCACGAGATCAATGTGACTTTTAGCTAATTTGACTGCTGTAACACTTGTATTAAACAATGCATAGCTTCTAAAACGCAATATATTGCAATATAACATAGATTTATGTCCTCTTTAATATAAACCAAAAATTATGACACGAATGTGGACGAATAATAACTATTTATCCATTTAAAATATAAAAATATTAATTTTTTTGGCATTTTCAATATAAATAACTAAATCTTAATCACTTCCAAACACAATTTCATACTCAAATGTTAACGAAGTATTTGCAAAATAACCTAAACTTCATGGTTCAATTGAAAAATGTTTAACTTTTACAATACTCTTTAAAATAAATAAAATTTTCAACGGGAACCTTTTTAATTTTTTCAGCCTTTTTTGGCACAAAAATTTCTATGAAGTTTGACTTTGAAGTTTCACTACAAAAACACCAGTCCACTTTTGACATTTATTTCAACGACAAGTGATGTAGAATTTTATATACTTTAACCGTGTGCAAAAATTTTTAGCGATACTTAAAATTTTATTTTTTAATTAATCCAAGGAAACAGGGTATTCTAACCCACTGTGAGCCGTTCTCCTTTATTCTTTTACAATAAAAGAATCCAACATAACATACCAAGCCTGAAGTCCTCTTATGTGTTTCCCCTTTAAGAATGATTATAGAAATAGATGACAGATAGAGAATTCGCCACCCGGTAGACCTTATTTATAGGCCACGCTGCAACTCCGGTTTTTTTGCTGTCCTTGCTCATACATAATAAAGCGAGCAAGCAAAAGCGATTTTTTCACTTGAATCATTCCCGGCGAATGTACCGAATAACACACATTGCTGATCCCCGAAGTTTCAATCAGCATCCTGGATTGATTGAGTCAGAAATTTGAGTTTAAATCATGACTATCGAAAAACCACCATATTAAAAAAATATTAACATTTATTTTTATTTCTTACAAAAAAAAAATATTACTCCAGGGGAGAATTATCATTTCCATTACGTAAACACAGATACATATTTTAAAAAAATTGTTAATAGCAAAATATACATGGTAAGTTTTAAATGTAAATATATATATATATATATATATATATATATAATCTTATCTGTAAATATATAAAAAGAAATAATAGATAATACAACATATTTATGTTTCCGATATTCGGCCTTTCACATTATTTTATTTATATCTTATCTGAATATGGATTCTTATTTAAATGGTATACTACAATTTTTTACAAGCTCATTGCACAACATATATGTGCATATATCAGAAACTTTTATAATCTATCGAAATTTTACATTCCATTTTTAATTTTTATAAATATACATCTTCCCCCTAATATCTTGGAGATGAAATTTTAAAGTCGTAGTTTTTCAACTTTCCTTTTGTAAGCATGTATAAAAGTACCATTTTATAGTTTGTTTTGTCGTAAATCAAAAATGCTTTCTTACACCATGTATTAATTTTATACACATAAATATATTTAACATAATATATATTTGTAAATAAATACTTGTAAGACCTCTTGGCACTGTTTCATGTACTCCAAAAGAACACTAACGAGAGCAGACACAAAATAAATGTAGTGTCCAAATTGTTCTGTACTGAATACCTCATGTTTACTGCAACATTAATGCATTTAAATTTCTTTGTAGAATAGTATCTTTGACGGAATTGAAGACAACGTTAATATTGCGGGTGTCTATGGCGGTGGTGAAGTGATGATATGTGCGACTTTGTTGAGCCTTGCGTACGCTCATAAACATCTGTAGAATGAAGTTTTGAACATCCAATAGAGAGTGCGGATTTCCGTGGAATTGTGGATAGAACCAACGTATATCAGTCTCTGGGTTTTTTACTTTTAGCTCCAGTAAATCCATTTTGTTTAAAAATAAAATAATCGAAATACCTTTAAACGTGTTATTATTTACAATAGTGTCGAAAATATTTCTGGACTCTTCCAAACGATTTGTCATCCTGCAAAAATAAAGAAACAAATTATTAACTTCCTTACGAGTCGATTACGTATTTCAAATAGGTAAAAGATCCGTTGCCAATACCTTACTGCAGCGAGTAATGTGTATATTTTACTGATATCTTCTTCCTACCATGGAAAAGTATCTCATGTTAGATAGTTATGTTGATTGATTTAAGAGGAACATTTGGTAAACCTATCTTCTTCGACATTACTTCAAATCAGCTGTTTGTGTCAAACGAGAAATTCAGTTGAAGAAAATGCAATACAAACCTTAGTATCTATTTAAATTTTGTTTTGTTTATTTATTATTTTTTTTTTCGATACACTTCTACCGTTGAAGTAAATGCCAGAACATGTCTGAATATATTCGTTCCGGCATAAAAGTTTCACATAAAACTTAAAGATAAGAATTTGAAAATGAAAAAGTTCTGTGAATCAGTATGATCAATATCAATATTCAAATAGTTGAAATGAATAATTTTTTATCTATTAACAACTAAAATAACAGTTATTAAATTTTAATTATTCAAAAAGGTCCCACAAAATCCACGTCTAACGTTACATTGTTATAGATCACATAAATGTCATCTTTGAAAACAAAAAATTTTAATGTCTCACAATTTTCTATTAAATTCTCAGTGACATATCGACGCCTCCGAACCATAGTATACTATGTCTGAAAAGTGAGTTTTTCAGTAAAAGCTTTCAAAGTATGGAAGTTTCTTTTATCGTACGTGCCATGCTAAAGTACATTTTTGCTTATAACTTTGGTTTGGATTGGCCGATGATTACCAAAATTTCAGTGAATTTAAATTAAGGAACGTAGTATCTAAAAACGTAAAGAACTTTAAAACATGCTAAGTCGACTTAGCATACTATGATTCGGAGGCGTCGATATTCACTTCATGCCAAGCTGCTCGTTTGAAAATCAAACTTTTTACTTCATTGTTGACGACATTAGTTTTCAGATACTGTAATATAAATGTGTAATTTTGGCAACTGCAAACGAACTCAATAGTTTTTTCCGATAATCGGCCCATTAATATTAAAATTAAACATACCTATCTTCTGCTAAAACTTGATCGAACTCGGATGTCGAAACTAAAAATATTATCGACGTCACTGATGAATCGAAACACCGTGTCCATTTCTGTCTTTGTGTTCGTTGTCCTCCCACGTCCACAAACACAAATGGTATATTCTGTAAAATACATGGAATATATAGTAAAATATAATGTTAATGTAATTTCAAAACAATTCAAAATTATTATTTACAATTCATTGGCTTTGTGAAGTTTTTATTAATTTAATTCATCATTCCTTTTATAATTCGTATTAATTGATCTGTATTTGCAAACTTTACACAACTAAATTTATCTTGCGTGGAAGATGTGTCTAGTTTCAGGTAAACAGGTTGAGAATTTTTGCAGGTTAAGGCAAACGGCTCTCATGTCAAATTGGAAACGTACTAAATGAGCTTCACGTCAATTATGTATTATTTTATTTAATTCATTCAATGTAATATAACTCATATAACAATCATATCCAAACGGTATATCTGTATATAAAAGAGCTTAGTGTTAAGTGAGTGAGAGACTGACTGACAGATCATCACCCACACCAAACGGCTAATGCTTGAAATTTTGAGTGTGGGTTGATGTTGGTGTGTAGGCGTGAGATGAGGCTGGGTTTTTGGAAATTCGAAGTAGAACGGTACGAAAAGTACTAAAATGTACCAAAAATGGTACCCTATGTATTAGGCGAACGGGAAGAGCTAGAATTCTGAAATTTGGAATGTGGTTCACTGATGGAAAGTTAGAAAGATGTACAAAAGAGTTTTTGGAAATTCGACCTATTAGTGTACTAAAAGTACTAAAAATTACTGAATTTAGTTCTAATTTTATATGTATTGAACATATATAGCTAGAATCTTGAAATTTTATATGGAATACAGGTTGGGAAGTGATGTTGATATATGGAAATGCTTTAAGAAATTCGTACTTATGTGTATAAAAAGTACAAAATGGTACTAAATTTGGAACTATTTGCATTTAGTTGAGTGTGTAGAGATGGAATCTGGAAAATCGGAATCAGGACAAATATTGGAGCACAAGATTGAAGCAGCTTTAAAAAATCGTACTTATGTGTACGAAAAGTACTAAATAGTACTAAATTTGGTGCATGTTGGATTTAGGTGAACAGATAGAGCTGAAGTCTTTTAATTGTGAAAAAAATGACTGTTGAATGTAGGATTGAGGTACCAAATTTAGTACAATTTGGATTTTGCTTGAAATGATAGAGCTGAAATACTGAAATTTGAAATTAAGATTTTTGTTGAAGATTGAGCTATAGAGTCATCTTTGCAAATTCGTATTTATGTGTACGAAAAGTACTAAACGGCACTAGATTTGGTACAATTAGGATTTGGGTGAACGGAGAGAGCTAAAATTTGGAATAATGATTGCTGTTGGAATATAGAATTGAGATATGGTATAATTTGGTCTTTAATGAACAGACAGAGCTGAAATTCTTAAATTTGCAATTACGATTACTATTTAAAATCAGAATTGATTTACATTTGGCAATTTGTAATTATGAGCACAAAAAGAACTAAATTTGAACTTTGATGGAATTAAGATTACTGTTAGAGTGTAGGATTGATGTCATTTTAGATATTCTTACTTATGAGTATAAAAAGTACTAAATGGTACTAAATTTGAAACGATTTGGATTTGTAAGATTCCTGAATTCAGATTACTGTTGAAGTGTAGTATTGAGCTATGGAGACAACTTTGGAAACTCGAATTTATGAGTACGAATAGTTAATAGAATATTCACTAAAATTGGAATAATTTGGATTTGAGTAACGGAGAGAGCTGGAAACCTACAATTTGGAATGTCAGTGACAGAGAGATAGAAAGAAGGGCCAAAGGGTTTTAGATACTAAGTGTTACTAAATTTAGTGGTGGTGATGGTATGGAGATTGTCTTGAAAATGTGTACTTATGTGTTCGAAAAGTTCTAAATGGAACTGAATGTGGAACCTGTACGTTTCTGCTAAAGTATTTAATTGGAATTCTGATCTATTTTTAATCTATGTAACAGTATTCACGATTTCAATATGATTTTGTTTTATATTCCCTTTCCGCATACGAAGTAACGGGCATTTTGCTTATTCATTTAAAAATACAATTATATTACATTTGATTAGTTCTATATTCATGCAAAAGTCTACGTTAGAATACACAGAATTGAAATCAATACACATTTTATTAAGTGGATCTCCCACTGTGCGATGAAAATCTACGTCTATTGGTTGATAATATCTACTGGATCAAAAAGGAACATTCAAGTCCCGTTCCAGAACCTAAAAGAATCTACTAATTTTACAAGTTTTGTAACTTTTTACTCGAAACCCGTTCCTGAACCCACAAAACTGGTAAAACATTGAACCAAATTTAAGAGAGCACAAAACAAAATGGCGTTCTCTTTGTAAACTTTTTACTCTATAAATTTGTCCGAGTAAAAATGGTTAACAGGAATGCCAACTTCTGATTGGCTGTTATGTTGATTTTGTAGTATTGCCATCTAATTTTGGCATATTTACTAGATTTGCGTTCCCGAACTTTTCAAATTTTGTTGTACTCTGAGTGGGATTTTGAAATGTTTCGCTTTTACTAGCCTTACTTTTAAAAATGTACTGGAACAGACCATTATTCTAATGGATGAAATTAGGAAGTCTGAGGGTAAATTACAGTTTAGTATTTTAATTACCATCATAGTGTTAAACATAAGACGTCTACTTTTTAATGTAGGCAATCGAATTAATTTTAACCTGCTAGTGTAAGAAGGCAATACAAAGTCACTATTCCAATGTAAACCTCTCAGTGCAAAAAGTAGAAATTGTTTCTGCACTGATTCAATTTTATCGGAATATATTGTATATTGGGGATCCCATACAACAGAGCCATATTCTAATAGGCATCCGAGAATTTTTTAGACCATCGTTTTATAAATCCTAAGACACAGTGGGCTTTGTTTTCTATAGAAATTACATGATTATTAAAATTTAATTTTGAATCCATTAAAATACCAAGATCAACAAAAGAATTTACAGTTGATAAAACAGTACCATTAATATTGTATTGCATTGTAAAAGTAGAAGATCTGGAAAAAAACATATGCTTACAATTTTTTAGGTTTAAATCCATACAGTTTAATTTGAAGTAAATCAGCTTGCGTCATAGTATTATGGGTGATTAACAACTTGATATCGTTTGCATACATTGTCAACTTGGAACGGATTATTGCATTTGGCAAATTTATAAATAGAAAAAAGAGGAGTGGGCCTAAATGATTTCCTTGGGGAACACCGGAAGGAACATTAATGGATTTGGAGAGACAATCATCAAATAATATTACCTGCGATCTACAATCCCACGGCGGCGGGTTCTACGATACCGGATTGACCCGATTTATTTCGGCCAGCGGCTGCCAACTCAGTTGTATATGTTTGTATTGTTTTTCTGTTTTGGGAGCAACATTTCCCGGAATGCTTGCTCCGGATTCTTTTGGTCCGTGCCGGGATCGAACAAAACCCCAGACCGTGGTTCTGTTCGGTTTGCCAGAACATCATTCACCACAGGTCAGTGTCGGTGAGATGTAATGGGTGCAGGGAGTGGGTGCACTTCAGGAATTGTTCCGGGTTGGCCCGGTTGCGAGATTGCAGCGATAGGGATTACGTTGCCTCGTGCTGCGACAGCGCAATCCCCAGTGAGTCTTCGTCTACGTCGTCGTCTTCTTCGTCGGAGTATGGAACTCCACCGCAGTCTCCTCAACAGCAACCAAGCATGCAGCACTTAACACCGCACGTTGCTGTTCCCACCCCTGATAGTGCATCGTTTCTGCAATTTAATAGCAACGGTCTTCGAGGAAAAATAGATGAGATAGTGGATTTCATGAATCGGAAGAATATTTTGGTCGCGGCGGTGCAGGAAACCAAGTTCAATGAAAATTGTAGCCTACAGCATTGTGATGGTTACAACATTCTGAGGAAGGATTGCACCACAAGTGGAGGTGGGGGCCTAGCATTCTTTATGCACCACTCTGTTCAATGCAGGCCTATCTCGCTTGAGCTTGACTCTAGCAGTTAAATGTGGTACTGCCGAGGTAGAGGTGTTTAACGTGTATATACCGCCGATCAATAGCTGTGAACCGCGTTATTTGCCCAACATTAGTTTTCTATTGGAGGGCAATAACCGTCTGGTGCTAGGGGACTTCAATGCCCACCACGAGTTGTGGCATTCCGTCCAGAGGGGAACAGTGCTGGCAGAGCAAATTGATAGCTCCACGTTCTGCACGGTAAATGAGAATGCCCCCACCAGAATAAGGGGAGAGTGTCACAGTTCGCCAGATATAACCATTGTGTCACCGGGTCTGATAAATGACGTCAGCTGGCAGCCCGTCATTTCCCTTGGCTCAGACCATCTCCCCATAATCGTCTCCATCAGCAGACCGCCCGATTTCGTCATCTCTGAACGCCGCACTTTCCTTAACCATAGGAAAGCCAACTGGCAAGGATTCAGAGAGTTCACCAACCAGCGCTTCAGAGAACTTTCCATTCCTTCTGATGTACGGGTAGCAGAAAGGAAATTCCGAGGCATCATCACTGCTGCAGCTGCTAGATTTATACCTGCTGGTCGAATACCCGAGATGAGACCCAATTTCCCAGCAGAAGCAGTTGGTCTGGCAAACGAGCGTGATGAGCTCCGTCGATCTAACCCAGCAGATCCCAGTGTCAGGGAACTTTCGTTGGAGGTCAGCAGACTAGTCGCGGAGCACAAGCGGAATAAATGGTTGGAGCACCTGAAGAGTTGCAACATTGGTACCGGAGTAAGTAAACTGTGAGCAAGGTTAAGTCGCTCTCGAACCCTGGTAAGAAGGATGATAGGACCTCAGTCACATTTAACGACGAAATTGTGACTGATCCGAAGTGATGCGCAAGTCATTTTAACCGACAGTTTGTCGAGCATCCCGAGAGCGACAGTGCGAAGAGAAGAGTACTTCGTCGTATAAGATCTCTTCCTGCCGAGGAGGTACCACCACAGTTTACGATGGGTGATGTTGCATGTGTCATCCGTAACGCGAAGTCATCTAAAGCGTTGGGCTCTGATGGAATATCTATGTGTATGCTGAAGCAGTT